TGACAATTAATTGCATGCTTATATATTTATTGAGCATTTATTTATTTCTGTATTTATTATTAAATATTGCAGAGTTGGTCCTCCATTCTGCCGAGATATGTGACACACCAAGAAAAAAAGAAACACCAACAAACGAGACAAAAGTTACATTTTAACACATCAGTAAAATGCCAATGTGTTTTTTTTTATACCAATTAATGTGCTGTCAAGAAAATACACGTTAAGTCCCAGTGCGCCATCTAGTGGCCATTTTAGAATACAGCAGTTTAAAATCCCTTTTCATGATTATTCTTTAATGTTTTTGGGTTTGGCTTTATTTAACTCAGAATATTGTAATCGGAAGGGTTTGCAACCATTAGAACATCATCTTAGCTTCTTAAATAATTTAAAGGACCAGCAATCTAACTTAATTTGAATAAGAAATAAAATATATATAAAAAAATGTTTTTCTTAAATTTAGGAACTAAAGTAAGTAGGCTGCCCTTACTGAAGTAAAACAGGGTATAAGTACAGGGAAAAAAATTTTCTTAAAAAAAAATAAATAAATCTTCTATAGTTATATTATTTGTAAAAGGAATAACCCCAAATAAAGCAAATCAGAAAATAAGGAGATCCGTAAACACCTGCCTTTTACACAATTCAGTACATTTTATTTAGGAACAAATAAAAAAAATACAAAAAATGATAGAAAGGAGAACATATGAAAACTATAAATATCATAAAAGAAAAAGGCATAAGTTAAATAACTATCAACCAACTAGTCTGGAGGAAAAAAAACATCATCTGCTATGATATGCATGACTTTTTTAATGTGTTGATATTTGATGTAAAAAGGCAGAGGAGCTGTGGAGTCAGGAAGTAGAATCTACAGGAACGCAAACTTGTTTTTTCTCACATAAATCAGCACTTCAGTCTGACAGGAACAAACATTTTCTTACATTTAACAGTCGAGCATAGAGTTTAATACAACACTGACATAAGTGAATTTTCTCTGATCTGTTTTGACTAATAACATGTTTTTTTTTTTTTTTTTCTTATATTTCAAACTCTTTATTTCAGTTTATGCAATTTGTACAAAGGTTTTTTTTATTCCACGTCGATGGAAGTTACAGCACTGGACATAACTTTAGCTGACTTTTTAAATTTGCAACTGAAAGTTTAACATCGAATAAGCAAACTGTTCAGGTTTAATGAAATACAGATTTTTTTTTATTATTTTTCTAATTTGTTTATTCAAAATCCCTGCAAATGACTGAAGTTGCATTAAAATATTTTGCACTTGGTTCAGAATAATCTCTCTACTGAAATGGTTCAATCAACAATGATAATGATGGAAATAAAAAGTGAACTCAAAGAGGAAAAAAAACAAAACAAAAGTAACCTTTCATTTGAAATTAGTTTTAAACAATTGCTGACATTAAATAATTATATAAAATAGATTTATAGGGTCAGATCTAAAAAAAAAAAGAAGAAAAAAATGTTATTGCCCCGGAAAGAGATCGAAATCTAGATAAATAGTCATTTTTTCCTTAAAATAAGTGCATTTTTTCTTGAATTGAGGATGTAACTGACACACTTTGCAAGTGGAACAAGACCATTTACATTTAAAATGAAGAAAAAAGCAATTGCATCAATTTATTTCAAGTACATATTATCTAATCACCTTCTTTTAAGAGTAAAATACTCATTCCATTGGCAAATCATCGTATTGTTCTAGAAATAGGTCTAAATGTAAGACATTTAAACCTATTTCTAGATTGTTTATGCAGTGTGAGTTTTAAAATATGCAAAAAACAAACAGTTTAAGGCAAAGTAAAACACTCTGCAAAGCAGAATTTGAAGTTCTGCAGCAGCTCTTAGATTAAACGTAGAGAACTATGTTTTCCAGCAATGATCAAACTATTAGAGGAACTAGGAAAACTTGTGCTGCTTCATGAGTTTCAAATCAGAATGAAAAATCAGATACGACTGCAGAGCAAATGCAGGAAGAATCAGCATTAAAAAACAAAACGTACAAAACGATGCATTCTATTTTACAGCACAGGTTTGGCTATGACAGCATCTACATTCATCAAGTATCACAGCGCGGTGCAGGATGCACAATGTGAGCAACCGAAACAGAACAGAGAAAAAAAAAACATGAAAACCAAAATAACAAAAAGTTCTTTACCCTTTTTTGGGGCAGTTTGCTTCCCCTTTCCAATTGGGTCCCCTCCGTCCCTCAGTGAGGTCTAGAAGCACTAGATCTATATCCATCCATTCAGCATTGATCCTGCTACATGGCTGTACGTCTTATTTTGGCCTTTGACCAATTAGATGAGCCCTTAAATGATTTATTACCTACTGGAAATTAAGTAAAAAGGTTGAAATGAAGTGAAAAGTTAAAAAGTAAAGTTAATTAGCCTACTTAGCAATTCTATTTAGGTTCATAAACTAAAAAAATAAGTGCCAGTATCAGCATTAATGCCTCTAAGGTTATGTTGGACCAAATAAAATGTGTTTCTTTCGCTCTTAGAGTGTTTTTTATGAATTTCTTATAGAAGCACTTTTGTTATTTATCTTAAAATATTCGAGCAAATTGGCGTTTCTTGTTTTTACATTGACATACATTTTTCCCACACTGGAAAAACGATCTAGAAATAAGTAAAAATTTCTCAAATGAAGTATATTTACCCTTAATATGAGTAGGTAAGTGAGAAGATTTGCCTATGGAATGAGTATTTATACTCTTAAAATAAGATAATTAGATAATATGCACTTGAAATAAGACGATGCAATTGTGTTTTCTTATTTTAAGTGTAAATTCTCTTGTTCCATTGGCAAAATGTCTCTTTTACCGCCTCAATCAAAGAACAAATGCACTTATTTTAAGAAAAAATGACTTATCTTGATTTCGTTTTTTTCCAGTGCATCAAAATATCCAGATATTTTTAATGTTACGATGTAATACACTGGAAAAACAATCGAGAAATAAATAAAAACTTCTTAAATTACGAGTATTTATCTTTAATTTGAGTAGGTAAATGAGATAGTTTGCTAATGGAATGAGTATTTATACTCTTAAAATAAGATAATTAGATAATATGCACTTGAAATAAGACAATGTAATTGTGTTTTCTTATTTTAAATGTAAATTGTCTTGATCCATTGACAAAATGTGTCTCTTACCTCCTCAATCCAAGAACAAATGCACTTATTTTAAGAAATAATTACTTATCTAGATTTGGTTTTTTTCCAGTGCATCAAAATATCCAAATATTTTTAATGTTACAAAGGTAAAAAGGTCCTGGATTCCGATTAACACTATTGGCTTGAAATTTTTATTTTCAAAGTTTTCCGCTGAGCGTCCTATAAAGGGTTAAAAGTGGACGGATTGCATCATAGGATGAGACAGAGACACAGACGAATCACAGGCCGCCAACCTGACGACTTCAGGGTTTCAGTTTTCCTCACATTCCTATCCTGGTGGTTTGAAGTAAAGTTGCTTTTTAAAGGAGCAGATCCTGAGTCATCATCATCATCATCATCATTATCATGTTTTCTCCTCCTTTCATACATGCAGATGATGGTCTCAATACCAGGGAGGGCCCAGAGAGCGACCGGACAGAAGGAGCTGCAGTGAGCGGCCAAACGCTCCACGAAAAACAAGTACAAACGTTTAAGAAACTTAAAAGGGTTTCCCCTACAATAGAAATATAAAAGTTCATGTGTAAAATACATGATAATAAATGCCCCAGCCAATGGGAAGGGGAACCACCAGTAAACCGGTAAACGTTCGCCTCAGACTTTGACTCCTCTGTGATTTTTGAGTTCTTACAGGACGGTTTACGCTCATAAACCCGGTCGTCTGCTTGTGTGTCGCAGTTAACGCAGATATGCTCCCGCCCCTTTCGCAGACACTCTGCTGCACCTCCCAAAATTGTAGGTGAATTGCAGGTGCCTGCAGACAGGAGGCCTCTGATTGGTCGATTCTACATCCGCTCTACACCATGCACTGGAAAAATTATCTAGAAATGAGTAAAAATTGCTTAAATTAAGTCTATTTAACCTTGACTTGAAAAGGTAAATGAGATAGTTTGCCAATGGAATGAGTATTTTTACTCTTACACTGCAAAAATGATCTAGAAATAAGTCAAAACGTCTTAAATTAAATGTATTTAGC